TTATAGTATTAATATTAATTTGTAGTTTTTTATTTTATTCTTTTATTTAAATGTTATCATCTACTTACCGTACCATATTTATTTTCTAATCTAATTTAGAAAACTTACCATTTTTACGCGTTTGTGCTTGTAAATTATAATATTTTTTAATGATAAATAATTAATTTGTAGTTTGTTTGAAATAAATCATTTTAATCCTGCCCATACTTTATTAATTTGTAATTTTTAAATTTTATTTTAATATTTAAATGGCAGTGTATTTTATTTCCATACTTCAATTCCCCAATGGTTCACTACTATTTAATTTAATTTAAATTCTTAAATGGTGTAACATTTAAATAAAAATAATAATGAAAACATACTTAAAATGAAAAGAAAACATTAAGGTAAAATAATTAAACTACCATTTATGTTGTTAACACTTTCCATATATGAGTCTCATGCATGGGCGGGAAAAAATTGATGTCTTTTTAAATAATATATAGATAATTTAATTTATTTCTAGTTAAGATAATTTTTCTAGAAAAAAAGTGAATGAAGTATAATCCTATAAATAGTAAACGTATAATTTAATTTGAAATAGAAGAAGGGGAAAATAATTTTCTCTCATTTTTTTCAAGAAAATGAAATTAGATTCTTGCAAGTACCAAAAGACAAAATTTACTTAGGTAGTGTTTGAAAACTAGCATTTCATTTCAATTCATGCATTTTAATTCCAAAATTTGAAATCCTGAATTTCAAATGGCAAGTGGAGGTGCATAGATTTCAAATTAAGCTTTGTTTTGAATGTAAAGAATTTGATTCAAATCCAAATTTAAAATGCTTAAGTTTCCTAAATATGGAATTTAAGCTAAATCTAGATTTAAAATCCAAACCCATGTTCCCAAACATACCATTAATTTATTTCATGTTACTTCCGTGGTTGGTACTCGGAGACTTTGGTCTTTGGGGATGGTTTGGTGTATAATTTTTTTCTTTTAACCATGAATACAACCAATCAGAACACAACATATTTTACCATCGCTCTCAAGGGTAATAGATGTTTTTTTTGCACGGTAAAAGATTGTTATTTCACTATTTGTATGGTTTAGGCTGTGTTTCGTTCGCTTGATCTAATCTGATTTGATTTTTTGAAATTTTAATCTGATTTGCTCTGATCTGATTGGATTTGATTTAAATTTAAATTAAAATTAAAATTATTAAATAATAATAATAATAATATTAAAGTAGTAATAATAAATTAGATTTAATTTAAAATTAATTTTTTTATAATAATAAATATACTAATATTAATAGAAATAATAATAATAATAATAATAGTAATAATAATAATATTAATAAGAATAGTAAATTAATAAAAACTATAATAATAATAATAATAATAGAAATAATAATAATAATAATATTAATAATAATAGTAATAATAGTAATAATAATAGTAATAGTAATAATAATAATAGTGATAATAATAATAATAATAATAGTAGTAGTAATAGTAGTAATGGTAATCATAATAAGAAATATTTGAATTAAATACGCATTAAAACGTAAGTCATTTCCCTAAGTAATACTTATACTACTCCCTCCGTCCCCAATTTGATTACAAATTGCGGGTTACGGAGTAAAATTTTCTACTTTTTGAAATTATTTTATTTCCAAATTGGTATTCCCTCCGTCCTAAAACTTTCTTTCCGTTGCGCAAAACGAAGAAAAATCCCAAGTTTTTTAAATCTATTTTATTTAAATATTGGTATAGAAATAAAAAATAAAACATACATATTTAAAAACTACATCAAAAGTTTAACAAAACAAGTGGTGACAAGAATATTTTATTTTATCATATAGGCCATGAAAAAACACAAATAAATATAAATTCCCGTGGAGTTGGAATAGTATTCTGGGAAGAAAGTTTTAGGACGGAGGGAGTATATTAATAAGATATAAAAATTACATATTAAAAAACTACGTTAAAAGTTCTACAAATCAGAGATGACAAGAATATTTTATTTTATCAAATGCTTAATGAAATTGCGTAAACAAACAAAAGTTATCGAGAGGAAAAAAAAATTACTCCTAATCTATTTAGGGACGGAAAGAGTATTTTATTCACAAATAAAACTTAATAATAAGAGAGAGAGTAGCATTTTTGTTATGAATTGGGTGAATTTCCGTGCACAAACCTCAAGAATATAATCCAGTTATTAGGCGGCGAAGAACATGATCCTAAATGAAATTTACAGTAAATAGGATTAAAACATAAGTTATTTCATAATGCAGGACTTTACCTTTTTTATTCTCTAAATGGGACTTAATAATGACTAATGAAAAAAATAATGTCCAAATAATGCAACATTTAGTTAAATAATGACCAATAGATAATGACCAATAATTCAATATTCAAAAATAAAAACATCAGAAATCTTAATAAACGATAGACCACATCTAAAACACTCTAAAGTCCCTCCTCCATTCATTCGCACCTTTCACTCCCTAGTTTGTAATAAATACTCACTCCGTCCCAAAAACAGTTTCCTACTTTGATTAACGTGCAAAATCCCGTGAATTTTAAAATGATTTTATTTGCAAATCGGTAAAGAAATAACACGTGAAAAAATTATATTTAAAAACTATATCGAAAACTCTACAAAATAAGAGGTGACAAGAATATTTTATTTTATCAAATGATCAATGAAAACACGCAAACAAATAAGAGTTATCGAGAGACCGTAATAGTACACAAGAAAGACTTTTTGGGACGGAGGGAATATAATTTTGAAGTTAAATTAAAACCTATATATAGATAGCGCGGCATCGATACATTAATTACATGATGATGATGATGATGATGAAGGATAGTAATTAATTAATTAATTAGTACTACGTACACAAAATTACACCGATTATAATAATAATACTCCGTAATTAAAATGAAGAAGAAGCAGTAGTGGTAGTGATCTGATGATGAGGGGCCTGCAGGGAGGCTACGGCGGCGGGGGCGTGGCGGGAGAGGTGGTGGCCGGAGATATTATTTGTATATCCTCCATCGATCAGAAAGGGCCGTATCGGAGATCGGTGAATTTGGATTTGAACCACTTGACGCTGCCTCGGAGAGTGGACTTGACCTTACCTTCGGTGGCCAGCAACTTGTACGACGCTATCCTCTTCTTCCTCTTCGTCTCCGGATTCGTCGCCGCCGCGAACCCCCCATC